CTTTAATTAGTAGTCAAAGAGAGACTTACTTAGTAAAAAAAGAAGTTTACATAGTACTCTTTGTGAAAATCTTTTGCTATTCTACTATTATTAAAATTCTATAAATGATTCTACCGATTTTTACTATGAAATTTCTACTCTTTAGCTGCGAACTACCCCTTAATCATATTAGCTTATATTTTGTATTATACAAGATAGTCAATTCAAGTATAATTCAAATATATATAGAGTGATATGCTTGTAAAGAAGGTCAGATAGATTTTAAGAGAACTTTAGGTTTTTAGTGAAACTTTAGAATAGTATTCTGGGTAGTACTTCTTGGGTTTGATATAAATAAGTAAAGTTGGTTAATCAGTTAGAAGTTCTTAATACTTATAGTATCTTGCATATACTTTTTAGTATCTTGTATGTGATAATAAAAGCTTGGTTTCTTCTTTTTAATACTTACAACCCTAAACTAAATTGGCTATATGAATATAAAGTTTTTTCTCTGGTTATAATATTTATAGTGCTGATTGTATGAATTGAACAAAAGAAAAGCAATGTTAAATTAGTATATTGTTTAAAATAAACCAAAAAAAAATAGGAAACAAAGTTTATTTAGTGTGAAAAAATTTATTAGTAATAAATAAAGAAGCAAAAGTTAAATTTAGATTATGTTAAGACAAATAAATAAGAAATATAACTCAAATTAGTGCTGTGTTGAATCAAAGATAATAACTAAAAATTTGAATAAGTAAATAAAAACAAACTTTGTTTTGTATAGCATAGCAAAGGTTTGGTATGATTGGCTATATTTATATAATAATTGTTGATCATTTCAAAGCCCAATCATTTAAAAAAACATGAGTTTTACGCCAACCTTGTACATATGACAAGTTGTAATACCTGTTAAATTTACCAACAATGAGTTCAAGCAACTTGTTCAAAGAGCACTTTTATTTCATTTAAAACTTTGGGATTGCATAGGATCGCATATTTGACAACATTCTCATAGAAGCTAACACTTCTTTTTTTTTCATTATCTTTTTTTTTCTTTTTTTTTTGTTTTTTTTTTTACCAATTATTAATAGCATTAAGTGCCATTAAAAAGGCATCGCCTTTTTCTGTCTTTACTTCTGTTACATCATCATCATTATCTTTTTCTTGACTTGGATCCTCTGATTTTTTTTCTTGTTCTTCTTCTTTAGTGAATGTGTTGGGTCCTTTTTTCAAATGTTTTACAAAACTATTAACATTATGGTAGATTCCTCTTTTATAATATTCTTTGCAGTGGTGGTAGCAATATTCTATACTTGTATAACAACTATTATGATAGCCATGTCCACAAATTAAAACTTCACCATCATTCTTCAAAATCTTGTGACAATGGTCACAGAGGTCAGGTTCTGGGGGAAATTCGAACTATAGCTCATAGGAAGACACCTTATATCTACAATTTTGTCTATAGTAGCCAGATAGTATTCGGGTATATTTTTTTTTTCATGAAGTTTGCTTTTTTTGCGGTTTTTAAAAATTTTTTGCAGGTAATTTAGAAGAAAAAGCCCAGTTTTTTCAATTAAAAAGTTTAATGTCAAGGAGGTGTAAGGATATCGTCTTGATTAAAGAAAGGAGTTTTGCAATTCATCTTCACTTTGCATATCTGCAATGTAAAAATTAGTGCTTTAAACTTTAAATAAATTAAAAAAAAAAAAAAAAAGTATATACATATGTATATACATACGTACCAATTACATAAGCCTGTCGTATAATACTTTTTAATGTTGAATTTGGGGAGGTTTGTGCATAAATCCTACTATGTAAATTTTCAACATAATATTCGTTAAAATTTACTAAAAAAAGTTTAATTGCTTTGCTAAATGGGTGGTTATTGTCTTACCAGTAAAATATGTTAGATAAAAATGCGAGTGATGCCTTGTTATAATTGTGGTGCTGCCACCATAATATAAATGTTCAGATTCGGAATATTGTCTCTAAGTATTCGTTAAACAAACTAGATCGAAAAAGGATAGCATAAATTTCTAATGTAGTAGAAATCAAATTATCTAAAAGATCTAGAACCATACAGTATTCAATGTCTTTGCAATTAAATCTGAACTTTTCTATAACCTTTTCTCTAATTTTACACTATCCTTTATGTGTTAATTCGAGTAACAAATTAATTCACCATGGTCTAGGCTTCTTAGTCAATTTTTTTTTTTACCAAAAACGAAGTGAAACAAATCTTAAAAAAAAAATTATATTTCATTACTACCTGTTCTCGACTATTCAAAGAAATGTGTAATGGTCCTAATAAGGGGACAAATGAACTAATCTCATAAAGAATATTATAAGAAAAATTATTTAGATTGGTAATTGCTTTACGAATAAAAGCTGTCCTGGCCAGTCTACTACAATGGGAGCTACCCGATTATGCAAGTGTTTGGTATCCTTATTGATTTTCAATACAACTTGTAGTGCATCTACATAATCAAACATCAAATACAAGTTTTTCTCTTGAAACCCAACTAACCGTATATTTTTTGTAAACCGCTCCTCCTTTCGCTCTATTATCGCATCATCATAAACGTGAATTGTTAACAAATCTATTTGATCAAAACTATTTTTTTTTAAACCACCAGATGCAATCCATTGTAACCTTCATGTTCTATATGAAACGTCAAATATTCCAATATATTGGTATTTTAATCTAAAACAAATATTACTCACATCAATATTAAGCGAATTGTGATGTATATATTATTAAAACTAAGAGAAATTGGTGCACACGTCTTTACTGGTTTGCAGATACATGTTGCCATGTGCTTGGTCATTGATAGTGATACTGTGTCTGGGCGTCTTTTC